AAGGCCTTGGATACTCCCTCTGTCACCTGGGACTTACAGGAGGGGCTGTTATCACTTTGAAGGGACGAGGGGAGTCCAAACCGAGGGAGGATTTCATTTACCAGTGCCTTTACCACCTCTGCAGCCTTTTTGGTTCTGCAGGGGAAGGCCTCCACCCAGTGTGTGAAGGGTATCTACCCAACCCGGAGACTTTTGTAGCCCTGTGCTTTAGGCATATGTGTGAAATCCAGTTGCCAATCTTCCCAAGCTCCCCACTCACTGTCTGCCTCTGGGGATTTGTGGATGAGAGTGCTCAAAAGGCCCTCCTTTGCTTCTGGTTTTAGAGGGTATTGTTTCCGACATGGGAAAGTTGTGGGGGTCTTTAAAATGTGTGCGAATGGGCACTGCAGGTAAGGCCCGACCCACTTCTCCCTGAGTTGCCCAGACCTGGGGATAAATATCAGCCTCTATTAAGGGGATGCAATTGCTAGTCTGTCCAGGGGCCATCAATCTGAGAGTTCCCAGATTGGTCTTAATATCGCTACCTAAGAGAGGTGTGGGGCTCTCAGGCATTATCAACAAGGAGTGAGAGAAAATTCGTTCTCCCCAGATGCACCCCAGCGGGTGAGAAAAAAATTTGATTCTGGGCTGTCCAGTGATACCCTTAACAACAGCGCTGAGGCTGGACAGCTGGCGCCGGGGTGGAGAGAGGGACCAGAAAGGGGGAAGGAAACTGACTGGCATTGCCTCTGTCTCGGGAATTACCTGAGGCTCCGGGTTCCCGACGGCAAGCTGTTCTGGGGAGCCGCCATGAAGAGCTCCAGGTCCCATCAGACCCTGTCGGGGTGCAGGTCGTCTGAGCCCTGGCCGATGGAGATGCTTGCGGGCATTCAGACTTCCCGTCCCCCTCCACAAGCAGGCCAGGGCTTGTGGGGCTTTGATTTTGGCTGTCCCCTCTGAGGACATTCTGGCTTCCAGCGCCCTGGGCGGCACAGACGTGGCATCTGGTACCAGAGCCGCAGGGCTTGTAAGATCGCAGCTAGGGCCTCAGAATGCTTTCTTAGCCTCTTCTCTAGTTCCTCACTTCTCTTGTTCCCCGCCATAAAAGACCCAGTTAGCAGCTCCTAAGAGCTCTTCTAAGGCCCCCCTGGGGGCCCACAGCTGACTTTTGCAGCTTTTTCCAATTATCTGGGGCTGACTGGATCACAGATTTGCCTTTGAGAATGATCTCAGCCTCAGGAGAATAGGGGGAGATAGCTGTATATTTAATGAGAGCCTCTCTCAACCCCTCTAAGAAGGCTGTTGGGTTTTCCTCTCGAGTTTGGGTGACAGCAGACTGCCTGATATAATTTAGGGGTTGAACCTTTGACCTTTTTAATCCCTCCAGGATGCAGGCCTGGAAGTGACTGAGGTATCAGTTTCTGAGGGGATCGTTAGGGTCCCAACTGGGGTCTTGGGAAGGGACAGCTTGGGCTCCAGTTGGGAAATGGAAATCCCCCGTGGGCCCACCCGTGCCCTGAAAATTAACCAGCTCTTTGTCCCTGTTCTCTCAGAGGTGGCCAGGACCCCGCATTTCTCCGCCTCAGAGAGGGTTTGATTTAACAGGAGCATTACCTCCTTCCAGGTTAATTCAAACACGTAAGTGAGATTTTGGAAAGCTTCTATATATTTATCTGGTTGTTGGAAAATTTCCCAAGGTCCCCCTTCATCTCTGGTCTTGCAATGACAAGGGCACCTGTACCCCGGCCACAGCGGCAGGTCCCCTTGGTCCTCCTCCAGGTCGTACGTATTCTTGCAAGAGATAGAGCCCCCGAGCGTCAGCAGGGGGTCCAGGATAAGGCAGACAGGTAAGGGCACCTGATCTTAAATCTGGATAAATTGGTGGAGACCCTAGGGAAGATGGAGCTGGGAGTGGAAAATCCTCTGCGGACGCCATTTGCCTGTCTGCCTTTGGTGTAGGTGTGATATTCTTTCGTTCCTGTCCCCCAGTGCCCGGCCACGAAAGAGAGCAGCCAGGAGGCTGGCCCAGGCCCTTATTTTCCCTTAAGGCCCAGAAACATTGCATATTGGGTACTTCTCCCCATTTCTCTCATGTTTGCAAAACCAGTCCAGTTATATATATATATAAAATACAGGGTATTATAACCAATACATCACTCAGGCCGCCATGTCTCCTCCAATTTGTACCATGGCCATGCCCTGGAACAAAAGAAAGTAAGCTGCCTTTTCTTTAAGATTTGCGGGTCAAACCATTCCAGTTATTCAGGAAGCATCCCAAAGGAGGACTGGCTTTGGTCAGGGGATTGCAATTGCCCATCTCTAGGATGAGCGGAAATGGCATCCCTTACCTCAGGTCCTCACAGTTGATCAGGAGGGCTTCCTCCGGATCCAGTGTCCTGGGGGCTTTGCGACTGGCAGCCAGGGCTGCTGTCTCTTCTGCGAGGCGCTAGTAGTCACTCTTACCAGGCTCTACCTCCAGGGAGCAACCCTGCTTGTCCTGACTCATTCTCTTTGCATTTCCCAGCCACGGGACTCGGAGGATCCTGGGCTGGGACCCAGTAAGGCTCCTTTAGTGGTGGGTGGTGTGCCAGAATTTTCCTGGCCCGCTGAAAGTTGGCATAATGGGCCTAATAAAATTGCTCTATTTGACAGACCCGTTTTAAGTGGTTAACAAAGGCCAATTTATGGAGGCACAGGGCGGGCTGCTGGGGAAGGGGGAAACAGCCAAGGTAGAGGTCCGTTCCCTTGCCCTTCTCAGCAACACCCACTCAGATGTGATCCAGCCAGACGGGGTCCATCTTAGGATGGTCGCAGCTGAGCAGAGGGGCATGCACCTTGCCAAGTGTAACAAAATGGTCCCCGTGTATCCCGGAGGCAATCCCTCCTGATGTCCAGTGAGCCCGATACATACGGTGTGGGGATCTAGTGTCCGTCACACAAAAACAAGCATGCTTAGTGGCTGCAGGGTCGCAGGTAGAACACTGCTGGCGGGACCCCAATAAGGGAATTCAAGGTGTGTGTGTGGGGGGTGGGGGGACTACTTCTAACAAGATCTGGGCCAGATCCCGGAGGAGGCCACGTGTCTAAGCGTTCTGTCCACCTGACAGGGTAACAGGTGAAGGGGTAGGACTCAGAGGTGCCACCACAGACGGAGGGCAGAGGCAGAAGGCTGTTCCTCACCGTAATGCGGAACTGTGGTTGCGATCCCTTGGAGGCCTCTGGCAAGAGGATGTCTGGGGGGACCTTCCCAGGGATTTTGCATTCTTTCCCCTAGAGGAGGGATCCATGGGAACCTACCACCCGAGACTTCAGGACGGCAGCCGTGCTGCGCGCTCTGAGATGATGAGTGCCCATCATGTTGACGGTAACAGAGAGGAGAGCCTCGGGGTCCACTACTCACGGTTAGACGTCCTTGATGACGACCAGAGATCCCGGAGGAACCCCCAAGAAAAGGTTTCAGGAATTTTTCTTACCCCAGCTTTCTGGTGCCCACGGTCCTCGCTCACGCCGCTTGGAGGAATGAAGAGGGAGACGAGACACGGAGTCCGGGGGGGGGGTGGCGGGCAGCAAAGCAAAGTTTTAAGACGATAGAATCAGCTCTTCACACGGAGAGGGGGGATCCGAGAATAACCCCCTCCCACCCCCAGCAAGGACAGATTTTCTTTTATGCAGTTTTAGCTGGGGCTGTTGCAGCCCAGATCCTTCAGGATTTCTTCATGTCTTTGTCTGATTGGCCCGGGGGGAAGTTTTCCAGGAAGCCTATCTTTCCCAGACCAGCCCCCTGGGGTTGTTTTTCCTCCTTGGTATTCCAGGGAGGCCAGAGTCTTGATGGGGATCTTACCCAGTGGCCTCAGGTCCTACTAGATTCCTCTTTGCCTGTCCCCTTATCTGTCCCTGCCATAATAGGACGCCAAGTTTGTTCCAGATGGACATTTGATCCTGCAGAGGCATCAAGGATACCCAAAATTTTGCCCATATGGGCTCAATAAAGCAAGTTTGTCTTTTCTTGCAAGGTGACTTCAATTTAGGGACTCTTGGGTCAAATGACAGATTTATTAATACCTTACGCAAGCTTTTCATTCTCCTTTACAGGATTTGTCAGTATTCAACATCTTGGTATGCCAACAATGCGACTTGAAGTCACAGCTCTTTTGTTGATTAAGTGGGTGGCTCTGAAAAGAGCCTTTTGGTTTGGACAGGAGGTTTGAGGAGCACTCTGCTAGACTCCTACTTGCCCTTGGCCTTGTGGTGGCTCTCGGTCTTCTTGGGCAGCAGCACGGCCTGGATGTTGGGCAGGACGCCGCCCTGCGCGATGGTGACGCGGCCCAGCAGCTTGTTGAGCTCCTCGTCGTTGCGGATGGCCAGCTGCAGGTGGCGGGATGATGCGCGTCTTCTTGTTGTCGCGCGCCGCGTTGCCCGCCAGCTCCAGGATCTCGGCCGTCAGGTACTCGAGCACGGCCGCCAGGTACACGGGCGCGCCGGCCCCGACCCGCTCGGCGTAGTTGCCCTTGCGGAGCAGGCGGTGGACGCGGCCCACCGGGAACTGGAGGCCGGCCCGCGACGAGCGCGTCTTGGCCTTGGCGCGAGCCTTGCCGCCTTGTTTGCCGCGACCTGACATGCTAAAAAGTCACCAGTGTTTGGGATCCGAACCGAGTAGGAGAAAGCTTCTCTTATACTGTTCACTGGGCGCCAAAATAAAGCTGTCCCATTGGCTAAAATTACAGTTACATTTAAACCAATGGAATCCTGGTTTTGAAAGACTCTTATTTTGATTGGATAACTGTAGGATGCCGTCCAGAATTTACTACAATCACTGGATTTCTTTAATCACCTTCTTCGCCTAAGAAGCTGTGAGTGAAGAGGCCAAGTACAGCCTGTTTTTCTTTACCCTTTCGGCGGTGGGGAGGGGGTAGAGGGGTGTTGGTTACTGTCCCCCGTGCCAAAGCCAGTCAGGTTTAAGAAGCTGTAAATAAAGAGGGCAGTTAGAGCCTCACACTCATTGTGTTATTTTCAAGCCTTCAACAGCTACTCCCGGCCATGCCTGAACCCACCAAGTCGGCTCCGGCCCCGAAGAAGGGCTCCAAGAAGGCGGTGACCAAGGCGCAGAAGAAGGACGGCAAGAAGCGCAAGCGCAGCCGCAAGGAGAGCTACTCGGTGTACGTGTACAAGGTGCTGAAGCAGGTGCACCCCGACACCGGCATCTCGTCCAAGGCCATGGGCATCATGAACTCGTTCGTCAACGACATCTTCGAGCGCATCGCGGGCGAGGCGTCCCGCCTGGCGCATTACAACAAGCGCTCGACCATCACGTCCCGGGAGATCCAGACGGCCGTGCGCCTGCTGCTGCCCGGGGAGCTGGCCAAGCACGCCGTGTCCGAGGGCACCAAGGCCGTCACCAAGTACACCAGCGCCAAGTGAGCCCGCCGGCAGCAGAGCAATCGGTAAGGCTCGGCACACACCCCAAAGGCTCTTTTCAGAGCCACTCAGCGTTCTAAAGAGAACTGGCACTAATTTACCCTGGGTGTTTATTTGCTGTAAAGAAACAGTACCTGAATTCCATGTTTTCACCTGGCGGTAAATTAGTTACAATGTGTGAGAAGCTGAAGTAGCGCTGGAGACGTATTTAAAAAGGTTTCGGTCAGGAAGGATCACGTTCATTATCAAATGGAGTAAAATAAAACATTCTTTGTCTCCAAGCAAAACCTGGTCACCTTTGAAAATCCCAACCTGGCAAAAGGTCTTATTAATAATGCCTCGAGCGCTCTGTCCTTAATTCTCAGGTGTACCTTACAGACGGGGCACTGGGCAGGCACTAAGAGGCGCACAAGTCGTTTCGGGGGCGGTGCTGGCTCTGGTCCCTGGAGTTTGTATTTGCCACGTACTGAGTTAGAAAGGCGGCAGAAAAAAATGGAAGTCGGAGCCGTACTGAAAATGTCAGCGCGCGTCCATCGTGGCACATGGGTGTGAGCCAATCCAGACGCTGCGCGGGCGGTTGGAAGTCCCCCGCGGGCCGCGCTTCGGGAGTCTGTCCGAACCGGTAGTTCTGCGCAGCGCGGCGTGCGGGAGGGAGGAACTGCCGCTTCACTCCCTCGTTTCTCTGGGGGAAATTCCTCTCATGGGAAGGACTGGGCTCGGGTTCCTACCTTTCCGGTCAGAATCCACTCCATCATATTTTCTTTCCGTGTCACTTGCATTTCGTGTTTCTATTGGAAGACATTTAAAAAGAAAACTAGAGGAGGGGGGAAGCCCAATTCAGGACGTCAAAATCCCTCTCCCCGACTTAAGCCCTTAGGAATGGCACATGTAAGAGTATTTTGGTCTTTGCCGGGACTCGGGGTGGAAACACTTCCACACTGAATTGTATTTGCTGAAGTTTTGTTGTTTTTTTTTTATAATATCCTTTATCCAATTACGGAGCCGAGGTGTTCGCGTGGGAATATTCTGCACGCGTTGAACAGGAGACACAGGAGAAGGGAGCCGCGCTATTCTTATTCGCAAAACAGGAGAAGCAACCGCATATTCATGGCCAAAAGAATCAACAAATTTATTGAGATACGGTCACTCAGTAGGAGTCCATACAGAGAGGGGGGGAAAAAGATTAAATACACAGTAGCACTTGGTTGAATTTCAGAAACCTAAATCTCAGAAGGCTCATATATGATACCACTTTATAAAGCTCAAAAATAAATTATTATTTAAGCATGTAGAGAAGCACATGTACGTGTATGATTCAAAAACCTTTTTAAGAGCTTTATGTACGAGTTTTTAAAAAATCAGGAAATGGATACCTCAGTGACAGACACAGAATGTAGACAAGAAGATGTAGACAAGAACAGAGGTAAATACAAGTTGTTGCCAGCATTCTAGATTTACTGCTAGAAGTTCCATCCTGGGTGTTTGATACAATTTGTTTTAAACTTAAGATGTATGTTACATATATTCCCTTTATGTATCAGATACTATACTGAAAACCAAAGTAGGGAGAGGACGCTTGCATACAAACAAGTTCCAAGCATCATCTACTTTGTCTTAAAGGAAATCTTATAAAGGAGAATTCCAAACCTTATGGTGTTTCTTTTAGAGAGTGGGAGAAAAAGACTGACAGGTCATTAAGAAGGTCTATGAATTTAGAAAACTCAAGATTTGGGCTACAATTAAGTCAGCAACCTTCCTCCTCCAGCTCTTGTAAACTTTCCGTCTACTGAGATTTTCAAAATCTTTGTGACAGCCCTCTGACACGAATGTGTGTGAGGAGGTACGCAGGTGTGTGTATTTCGTATACCTTTTATGTAGTCACATATATGTATGTGTGTATATCCCTCCCTCAATTCTGTTAGAAATTATACTTTTTTTTAAAGGTTTTATTTATTTACTTGAGAGAGAGAGAAAATGAGAGAGCATGAGAGGGAAGAGGGTCAGAGGGAGAAGCAGACTCCCCGCTGAGCAGGGAGCCCGACGTGGGACTCGATCCCCGGACTCCAGGATCATGACCTGAGCCTAAGGCAGTCGCTTAACCAACTGAGCCCCCCAGAAATTATACTTTTTAAATTTATGTATCTTTTCTCCTTCCATCATCTCTCAAGATAGTTGATGATAGTAAATTCACCACATATTTGGTTCTTTTATTCACTACTTTTCAGAGCACAGAAGCCTTTCATCCTGTCCATTAATTCATTAATGCAGACAACTGATAGCAAATTCTGGTATTTCTTTGTTTTACAGAATGAGGGGAACAGCAGACAGAAATCCGGGGGAGGAAGTGGGAAGAGGATTTAGAAGGATTCAGCTAGCTAACCACGTATATCCTGGGCCTGGGGAACGTACGTGTGTATAGATGCAGGTATGGAAGACATTACACACACAGGTATAGGTTTGGATATGGACGGGTATGCTTTGGCGATCAAGGACTGCTTGGATGACTTGCAATTGTCAGCAGGAACAATATCTAGAAGAATATGGGGAGGGGGTAGCTGAACTCGGTGCAGAATGGACAGAAGCATGCAGAAGGAATCTGTGGCCCCTCTATAAAAGGTTCACATATCGGGCCCATTACAGTCCAGTATTTAGAAAGTTAAAATTCCTAAAAGGAGAGAAAAATTTAAAAAAACCCTCAAAGCTAGATTTTGTGGGTTGTTTGTGCCTTGGTGATCCAGGCATCTAACACTTTGTTGTTCAAAGTATCTTGATTAATTTGTGTCATTGCTGATCAGCCTTGGGAAATGGACTTGAGCTCAGCCAAACCTGGATGTCACTTTACTATTTTATACTGGAACAGCTGGTAGCTTTAATAATTCACATGATTTGCCCCTGATAATATTTTTGGTCATTTTTCCCCTAAAGAACAATTTTCAGAACACAAAAGAACAGATTGGAACATTAAAATAGACAAGAGAGTCTTATCCTAAAGGAGAGATTTTTTTCCCAAGTTATGTTACCTGAAACTGGCCTTTGTCCAGCTTAGAGAAATTCATGTTTTCTTCATTGAAAACTCCATTCTATGGAGGTTGAACAAAACTTACTGACAAAGCTTAACTCTTTTTTTACTCCTTTCTAGATTCCATGCAGTTTGCCATCCTTCAGTTAGGACACTGTATCGGGCACATTAAATTAGACCACAACTTACCTTAGTTACATTTTAGGTTCTTTGATGTGGAAAACACCTGCATCTCGTCATCCATAACTGTCCCAAAACCTCAAATGTTTATTTTTTCTGCAGATGACTAGTTTATCCATTGTCTGATACCTTTTAACTTCTATTTCAGAGGCTCACCCTTTCTGGCATCACCAAATCAGCCTCTTCGGGGGTTTCAAGAGTAAAGCAGATGTGTGGTATTAAAAAACAAAACTAATTAACAAAAAGCACAAGGACGTTTTTTTCCAGACTTGAATAAGGATAAAAAGTTCCTATCAACTCCTACAGAGTTGAACATACATGTAAGTGTTCCTAGGGGTCAATGAATAGGATTGCTTCAGCTGAAGACTTCACAGAGGGGCCTGAAAAGTGCAAAGAACATGGGTGGGGTAGACTAGAAAGACAAAGACCCCTCCCCCTGCAGGTGCACCAGAATTCCCACTGATAGAAGGAAGAATAAAATCAGTGCCTCAGCCAAACGTCTGCATTTACATCAAAAATTAGCAAGTCTTTTTGACGGAGAAATTATGAAAAGCTATAAGGGAACACTGGAATCCCAAAGATATTAATTTGGCCGCCTGCTGCGGCCGTTGAGATTGGCGGGGGGTCGCGACCTGTGTTTACTGACATCGCTGTGATGTCTGTGCTTAATAAACAGCTTACATCTTGGGGTTAACTTATGAAAAGCAGTGGTTCCCATAGCTGTCACCCCCAAGGCTCCCCTTTGATATTTAATAGTTTTAATGGCCCCTTTCCTATGCTGACGTTAAATTCTTAGGTAATAATACTTAAATGCATGCATAATTTTTCAAAATCATGAAACACCATACTGTTACATAAAAACAAAGTAAGAGACAGTTATTTTAACAACAAAGGGGATAATGTCAACAACATATCATTGCTTGGGCCCTACACTCAAAAACATAAATTAGAAGTTGGGTATTTGTACCTGTATTAGTGAGAAATAAAACCAGTGGGATGGATGTGCATATAGATATTAGGAGATTTCTTATAAGGAACTGGTTCATGTGATTATGGAGGCTGACAAGGCTCCAGATCTGCAGGCTGAGCTGGCAAACTGGAGACCCAGGGGAGCCGACGGTGTAGTTCCAGTCTGGAGGTCAGCAGCTTCGAGACCCAGGCAGGGCCCATGTCTCGGTCTGAGTCCAAAGGCAGGAAAAAGCCAGTGTCCCAGTTCCAAAGCAGCCAGACATGAACTGTTATTCAGGGGAAGGACAGCCTTTGCACTCCATTCTTAATTTCAACTGATTGAATGAGGCCCACCCACATTAGGGAGAATAATCTGCTTTACAAATTAAGTCTACCAATTTAAGTGTTTTACTCTCATCCAAAAGCCCCCTCACAGAAACACCCAGAATGATGTTTGGCCAAATATGTGGGTAACACATAGCCTGGTCAAGTCGACACACAAATCAGTTGTCACAGAACCTGTAGGTAGAATCATCCTGAAGGCAAAAAGGACCCTGTAGATTGACTCAGAGGATCAAACACCAAGAAGAGACTTACTCTCAGTGATGTGATTTTTTTTTTTAAACAATAATTCTTGGGGGACATTTGAAAAGAACAAAATACAATCTCAATTTATAAAATGATTGCATTCTTGGAAATTTCGGTGCCTACTGAACTACACAGAAACACACACATGCGCAAAGACCTCATGCTTCTTTGTAAAAGGAGTCAGGTTCTAGGATTGATTAACAGGTTTTTTACCTTCAGATTTGCTATGGCACACTTGGAAGTCGTGCATAACCTGACTCAGTTCTTCATGGGACATCTAGCATCCCTGGTCTTTTCCTTTTTTTTTTTTAAAAAAGATTTTATTTATTTATTTGACAGAGAGAGACAACACAAGCAGGGGCAGTGGGAGAGGGAGAAGCAGGCTTTCCGCGGAGCGGGGAGCCCGATGCGGGACTCAATCCCAGGACCCTGGGATCATGACCTGAGCTGAAGGCAGACGCTTAACGACTGAGTCACCCAGGCGCCCCTCCCTGGTCTTGTCCTAAATGTCAGTGGTGCGCCTTCCCCCAAGCCCTGGGACAGCCTAAAAACAGTCTGCTTGGGTTCTAGAATGCTCGCTAAGGGCCACTCTTTTTCTCTGAGAAGGCAGACACTGATTACTTTCATTGCAGAAGCTGCAGAAGGGAGATGTCAACGGCGGGAGCTGCCGGAAAGCTTCCAGGAATGCCAGAATGTCCCCAGAAATAGTCTGCGATGCTGAAACGTCCGTTGCGAAGCATCAGCCCTGGGTAAGCCAGTTGGTCCCTGTGCCTCGTGTAACGGTCCCAAACTCCTTGTCTTCCCAACAGCTTACCTGTGGACGTGTGAACAAGCAGGGGGCCTTGATGTGGAGACAAGGTGGACAGCTTTTAAAGGAAAAGGGCCCCTCACCCAGAAGTGCCCCCTAGTTGCTGATACCCCGGCCAGCTCTGGGTCTGCAGGGGCACCAGTCCGCTGGCTGTGAACTCGGGCAGCAACCATGAGATTTATGTTCAGCTTTAGCCCAGTGAACAGAAAAGGCACAGCAGGACATTGAAATACAAGTGGCGGTCCCCCTCTGTGGGATCCACTGTGACACTGGCTGGCTGCACCTTAGACCTTAAGAACAAATGGGGACTCAACTCTCCTCAGATTATGACACAGGGAGGCCTGGTGATCCCAAAGAAGGAATGAACTCCCCACAGCCACCTCCTGGGGAGGCCTTTGCACAGTGAGCTCATCGCAGATGCCTCCCACCCGTGTATCAGACCCGTCCTCTGTCCGTAAAATCAGTCCGCGATGTTGAAGAACTGCCCTTTCTGGAACTTCGGTAGTTGGACATGAGTGAGAACACGCGCTGGGAAAGACAAGGCCCACTGCACCTCCTTGTCATGGGACAAGCTATCGCCAAACCTCAGTTTTCACGTTCTGATTTCCTGTCCTTTTTCTGAGATGTTGTACCAGCCTAGAAGGAAAGAAATGAAAATAAATGTGTCTTTGGGGGGCAGGGGGTGAGATGGAAGAAGGGGGCCAGTTATCATTGAGTGCGTCCTTGGGGAAACAGGCAATGCAAAAAAACACGGCCCTTGTCCTAAAGGACATGTATCCTAATATAGGAAACTGAAGGAGCTTTATACACGATCTATCTGATTAATGCATCATGATCTAGTGCGCTTTTTAACATTTTATCTATTTATTTGACAGACTGAGAGCAGAACACAAGCAGGGGGAGTGGGAGAGGGAGAAGCAGGCTCCCCGATGAGCAGGGAGCCCGACGTGGGACTCGATCCCAGGACCCCGGGATCATGACCTGAGCTGAAGGCAGACACTTAACAACTGAGCCCCCCAGGCGCCCCCTAGTGTGCTGTGTTTTGAGGGAGATGGAACAGAATGGGCAAATTCTTCAAAGTAGACGCCAGCATTCAGGGCTCAGGCAACACGGTACCAAGGGTAACGAGTCTGGACTCATTTGTGCAGGAAGAGAAGCATTGTTTGGAAAAGGTTTTTAACGAGGCAAGTGACATTTTAGAGATTTTTAACTTGGCAGAAGTGTGCAGGGAGAAGATTGGGGAAGAAGGTGCTCTTGGCAGCGATGGAGGGAGACAGACGCAGGCTCCGAGTCCCTCACACTCTCTGGCACCACCATCCTATTCCACACCCCACCTCCTCTCTCCTGGTCATGGCAGAGTCTTCCCACCGGGGTGTCTGCTCCCAGCCTGGTGTTCCTCAACTCTGCCTCCCCTCAGCAGCCCTGAGATTCCTTTAAAACCCGTGTCAGGTCGGCGTCAAAACTTGAAAGCCCTTCCCTTGGTCTCTGGGGTGTTGTGTGCGTTGGCTCTGGGCTGTTTTAGGCCCCCAATCCCAGGGTCCCTCATGCTTCCTCTGCTCCGGCCACCCCGATCCCTTTGCTGTTCCTTCTCAGACACGCTGAGCCCGGCGCCCTGGGAGCCTGTGCACTTCCTTTCCCTTGGACTGCAATGCTCCCCCACAGCTCTTCCTTGCCTCCTGCGTTCGCTGCCCAAATGTCCCTGTTCTGCGGTCTTGTTATGACATTCCAGCATTAGTATCATGCAAGAAATTGCCTCGAGGCCCAGGCGGCCTCCAAGCATCGCACCACGCAAGCTCTCCCAGGGACACAGCAGAGAAAGGCTCTCGGGCTGCATCTAAATGCTCAAATCATAGCTTATTAAATCAATTAGAAATGCAATTAGCAAGGGAGAAAAGATGCCCAAGCTGACAGTTTGGTGGACAAGTGGGTGAGAGCCATGCTACGTGAGTCAAGTGCGTGCACTCTTGTACATCTCGGCTGTCTTGCGGCATCGGCCTGTGGGACAGATGCCGGGCAGCGAGCCGGGCCACACCCGCACTCCCCGCGGTTTGCGGGACAGACGCGGGCTTTGTTTGTGAGCTCCTGGTGGGCCCAAAGCGGGGCTCATCTAAGGCCTCCTGTTACTGAGCGAGGGCTTTATGTGACTCTTGTGTCAATGAATTCCAAATATTTACCGTCTCATACATTTCGCCAGATCCCTGGACCCTTTCATTCCTACAGTCTCTATTTAACAACATGTGCTCTACTTACTATTTACCCATACTTGAAATATCTTAAAGGTTTTGGCCTCTATGTTACTAACTAAAAACATCTTTTATAATAAAATTGCTAATTTTCAAAAGTAAATGTGTGTGACGATCCCCGGCACAGAACAGTAAATATATGCTGGCCGGATGAACCACGCTCTCCCCCGCGTCCTGCCCCCCTTGAATCCTGTGTCTGGCATGAACACGCGCGTGCGCACACGCGCACATCACACAGGGGCCTGGGTTCTGGCGCGACAGTGGGCTTCCCATGACATTTCTAGTTTCCAAGTCCTCAACTGTAAATGAGAGCAGGGTTTAACAAGATGATCTTTATGTTTCCTTCCAGCATTTAGGATTTCGTCAGTGATTTACTTCTCTGCTGTGGTTTCTTTGTGCTGTGGCTTAACTTTCTTAGTCTATCAAACACATTTCGACAAAATCAAAAGTCTTGTCTCTTGACTATCACTATTGCTAGGAGGATTACTGCTAAATCCAAAAGCAGAGGAAATTTTTCCTACATGCACAGTTGAATTTTGCATAAAGGAATTTAAAAGAGAAGACAGTAAAGTTTAAAGCCTTTGAAAGTGATAGAAAGTCAAAACAGTAACAGGTTTACAGAAAATCTGTGAAACTTTCCAAAGTTTTTTAAAAAATTATTTGAGGGCGCCTGGGTGGCTCAGTCGGTTAAGCGTCTGCCTTCGGCTCAGGTCATGATCTCAGGGTCCTGGGCTTGAGCCCCGCATCAGGCTCCTTGCTCAGTGGGCAGTCCGCTTCTCCCTCTCCCACTGCCTGCCTCTCTGCCTACTTGTGATCTCTCTCTCTGTCAAATAAATAAATAAAATCTTAAAAAAAAATTACTTGAAAAACTCAAGTAAACTTCTTGTGAAAGGAATACATAACAATGAAGTAACATGATAGACTGCCAGCACTATAAAAAACATAAATTAAAAGGCAAAGAAACACCACTACATACCAGTTAGAAAGGTCAAAATCTGGAATACTCAAAACACCAAATGGTGGCGAGGATGAGGAGCAAGGTGGGCCATCCTTCACTGCTGGTGAGAATGCAAAATGGAAAAGTGTCTCCCACCTTGGAAGATAGTTTGGCCAATTCTTACAAAACCACACATACTCTTCCCACACAATCCTGCAAGTACATTCTTTGGTATTTACTCAAAGGAGTTGAGAATTTATGTACACACAAAACTTGCCCTCAGAAGTATATATTAGCTTTATTCAGAATTGTCAAAACTTGGAAGCAACCAAGATGTCCTTCAGTGGGTGAAGATATAAATAAATTGGTACATCCAGACTATGATAACGTTCAGGGCTAAAAAGAAATGAGCTATCAAGCCATGAAAAGACATGGAGGAACCTTAAATGCATATGACTAAGTGAAAGAAGCCAGTCTGAAAAGGCTACATAAGTATGATTCAACTGGGGTGGGGGTGGGGGGCAGTCTGCTGCTCCCTCTCCCTCTGCCCCTCCCCCATTTGTGCTCTCTCAAAATTAAAATCCTAAAAAGAAAAAGAATAATTTTTAGTGTATTGTTATAACAAAACGGAGACAAAATAATTCCCAGAGGATTTCCTCAGATGCTTAGAATGAAGAGAAACAATCCACTAATAAATGAAGGCTTTTTTGGGTGTGTTTTATTTTTTAAAAAATGACTTTTTATATCACAGCTGCTTTAATTGTGAAAATAATACATAATATAAAAATGAGAATATAGGCATGGATTATTCATGCAAATGTTCAGGTGTTGCATAAAAATGTTCAGTAATGATAACTTTCTAAAGTCCCTGCACTTGTCTAAGAAAAAGACAACTATGAATTACACCCCAATTAATATTAGAAATATGTATATGTGATGTGAATATGGAGTTGCACCCAAAATATGTTATAACCCAAACATACTAGTGGTTTTTGCTGGTTGGTCCTTATGAAAGTGTTTTGAGAATATGGAACTATATAAAATTCTTCCACTCAAATTTGCGGGGTAACATTGTAAAATATAACACTGGATTTTTTAAAAAGAATTCTTGGTATTAATTTGGTTGCACTGTAGCTTTATCTTAATTTACTCCCCCCGCAACATTTTAAACTCATATCTTGAAAATGAGGTAACAGAACATTAAGGTATTCTGTATTAATGTATTGTATTTGGCCAAATACAATTATTTATATTTATTTCCAAGTAATGAAACTTGATACTGCTTGCAATTTAAATAATTATATCATAAAATGAGTGTGTGTATATATGGTATATATATATATATTTGTGCATATATATTGTATATACATATAAAATGTGTTATTTATAGACTTACAGTAAAATATATTCTATTTTAATTTTTCCAATACTTTTATTCCAAAGGGATGCCAAAAAATTCAAAGGTATTGGGTCTCCATTTTCTGATTATTTCATGCTCCTAGTTATATAGAACAGCAATGACATGGATCCTAATCCTTTGAGATTTTAGCTATATATTCTGTGAGCCCAAATACACTATATACATACATTAATACATACATACCCTAAAATAATTATACACGATACATTTTATATATTTTTATTTATATCATATTTAATGGAACTAATGGAATAATCAGAAACTGGACAGTCCATGACCTTCTAATTTTTGGTACCCTCTTGGACTAAGAATGTTAGAAAAATTCAAATTCCATATTCTTTTCAAATAAGTGGTGTACAGATGATAATGACTGGGAGAACCATTAGGAACTATACGTGCTAACAGCATCCTTATGTTTATTCTGTGGACTAGACAGAATTTTTCCAAAGTTCAAAGTGGAATATAAAAATTACTAAGGTATTATGAATATTCTTTTAATATATATCTGGATAAGAGTCCATTGTGTGCTTTCTAAATTTTAAATTGTATTGTTTTTAAAGACACATTATTTAGATTGGACAAATCTGGTAAATTAACCTTAAGAAGGCAGTGTCTTTTGTTGGCAGAGAAGAATGATGCTATTAGCTCTGGAAGAAAAGTGAGTTAGATTTAAAAAAAAAAATTCTCGGCCCAGATAAAGGACTTTCAGTGGAAAGGATAACATGCACTTATCCTCTGGAAAAAGCACGTGCCATTAAAGTGGTCTTGAGGTTCCCTGAGTCAGAAAGGTGCAGAGTGCTCAGAGAACTCCCTAACAGAAACCCTAGATGGAGATTTTGGTCTCTATTTAAGAACCAAAAGTCGTTGAAGAAGAATTGATTCCAAGTTTTGAATTAATGGGTCCAAGACATCATACTGACTGAAAGTAAGGACAATCTCAGATGTCTGAACTAACAGTAGGAGTTAAAAAAAAGGGGGGGGTGCTCCAGAAAGCATGAAAGAACCCCCATGTTTAAGTAGTGCTAATGTGAGAATTAAAATTAAACAGAACAATTTAGTTGTCACTTGGAATGGATTCAGCATGTAAACTGGCAGAATTCATGATGCTAATCAATTGGAACCAATCCTGTGACGAGCTGATCAGACCTTTACACTGTGTATCTCAGGATTCCTCTTTCCCCAGGTCTTGTATCTCCCTTGTACAAGGCATCCCTCAAGGTACCACCAACACTATGGTTGCTAAATAAATAAATAAATAAATAAATAAATAAATAAATAAATGTATGTTTGCTTTCTTTTTGATTCTCAAAATACAACCTGGGGACCTAAGGGGGTTTCTGAGACCCTTTTGGTGGGTCTGTGAGGCTAAATTTATTTGTGTAATAATCCTGAAACTTAATTTTTGCACTGTTTTTCACTTGACAATTATATTGCAATAGATTGAATGCAGAATCAAATACTGTGCAAGAATCCAGCTGTCTTCTATTAAACGAGATAGTAAAGATACTTACAAAGTGTAAAACAATGCCACTCTTCTAAATTTTTTTGTGATTTTGAAAAATATAGCCATTTTTCATAATATATATGTTGACGTAAAATGGGACTTGACCATGTGAAAATCAATGAACGGAAATGCCACACCAGAAATAGTAGGACATGAAAATGTGAGTGATGAACATGAAGCAGGGTCAATTTCCATCTTTGTGGAACTTCACTAGGAAAGATGCAGAGGTGGAGTGCAGGGGACTTTGGCTTACCCAAGACACGTGTACAAGAAATAACCAGTAGAAAAATTCAACTGCAGATGTAGAGCCTGGATTAGCAATCCTCATCCTTAACTGGTGAAAAGAGGTGACTAATTTAGGTTCTCATTTTCCTTTCTCCATATTTATCCCAACACCATGAGGTTATTCTGTGCAAATGTAGTCCTAGAGTGGGGGAGCAAGAAGGAACATACCTAGCATTGATGTTAAAGAATAAGTGAAAGGGAATGTGACTTGGTAAGTTTCCTTTAAATCAATTTACGTGATTCACAGAGCATTCTACTGGGAGGGAGGATGGTGACTGAAAAATGGTGATATGACCTGAAGGGAGATAAATAGAACTCTGCCAATAAGTTTTTCACTGCAAGTTGAGGGATATTTTTCTTTTTCACCTTAATTTGCAGTTTTCTCACTAATTAGCTCAGTGGGTGGTTCTTAAAATTAGAATTTGGATAGTAAATGAAATATGCACAATAAAAATTTTTTTAAAAGATTCTGAGACAGAGAGAACACGAGCAGGGGGAGAGGGGCAGAGGGAGAGGAATAGTGAGAAGCAGACTCCCCACTGAGATGGGAGCCCGACCCCAGAGCCGGGATCATGACCTGAACCGAAGGCAGACGCTTAAACGACTCAGCCACCCAGGCGCCCCTGCCTAATAAATTTCTTTTGGCGTGTTTGATGTTTGTAACATGCAAAAAAAAAGTTAGACCTTATTGAAAATGCACAAGACCAAAATGTAGCTTTGCACAAATGAAGAAGCATCTACAAAAGCCTTCAGATGAAAATTTGCTTTTGCCTCTCAAAAACAAAAACAAAAACATCGGCTTTTGCCTCTCACTCTTTGGAAAGTGTGGATGGCTCTAACAACAACAAAAAAAGCCTTTGGGTGTCTGATCAATACCTTTGCAGCAGGAGGGCTCACTTGGCGCTGGTGTACTTGGTGACGGCCTTGGTGCCCTCGGACACGGCGTGCTTGGCCAGCTCCCCGGGCAGCAGCAGGCGCACGGCCGTCTGGATCTCCCGGGACGTGATGGTCGAGCGCTTGTTGTAATGCGCCAGGCGGGACGCCTCGCCCGCGATGCGCTCGAAGATGTCGTTGACGAACGAGTTCATGATGCCCATGGCCTTGGACGAGATGCCCGTGTCGGGGTGCACCTGCTTCAGCACCTTGTACACGTACACCGAGTAGCTCTCCTTGCGGCTGCGCTTGCGCTTCTTGCCGTCCTTCTTCTGCGCCTTGGTCACCGCCTTCTTGGAGCCCTTCTTCGGGGCCGGAGCCGACTTGGTGGGTTCAGGCATGGCCGGGAGTAGCTGTTGAAGGCTTGAAAATAACACAATGAGTGTGAGGCTCTAACTGCCCTCTTTATTTACAGCTTCTTAAACCTGACTGGCTTTGGCACGGGGGACAGTAACCAACACCCCTCTACCCCCTCCCCACCGCCGAAAGGGTAAAGAAAAACAGGCTGTACTTGGCCTCTTCACTCACAGCTTCTTAGGCGAAGAAGGTGATTAAAGAAATCCAGTGATTGTAGTAAATTCTGGACGGCATCCTACAGTTATCCAATCAAAATAAGAGTCTTTCAAAACCAGGATTCCATTGGTTTAAATGTAACTGTAATTTTAGCCAATGGGACAGCTTTATTTTGGCGCCCAGTGAACAGTATAAGAGAAGCTTTCTCCTACTCGGTTCGGATCCCAAACACTGGTGACTTTTTAGCATGTCAGGTCGCGGCAAACAAGGCGGCAAGGCTCGCGCCAAGGCCAAGACGCGCTCGTCGCGGGCCGGCCTCCAGTTCCCGGTGGGCCGCGTCCACCGCCTGCTCCGCAAGGGCAACTACGCCGAGCGGGTCGGGGCCGGCGCGCCCGTGTACCTGGCGGCCGTGCTCGAGTACCTGACGGCCGAGATCCTGGAGCTGGCGGGCAACGCGGCGCGCGACAACAAGAAGACGCGCATCATCCCGCGCCACCTGCAGCTGGCCATCCGCAACGACGAGGAGCTCAACAAGCTGCTGGGCCGCGTCACCATCGCGCAGGGCGGCGTCCTGCCCAACATCCAGGCCGTGCTGCTGCCCAAGAAGACCGAGAGCCACCACAAGGCCAAGGGCAAGTAAGGTCTCTCAATAGCAACAACTTCAAAACCCAAAGGCTCTTTTCAGAGCCACCCACTATTTCTGCAGAAGAGCTGAGACCGCAGTTTTCTCGAAATTTCAAAATTCACATTTGACTTAACACTACTTTTAGCTCTTAGGGCTCCCACTACAAGGTCCCCCAGTCTGAACCTGGACCTGAGAAGTACTGTGTGGCTCTATGCGAGCCGGGACCAATGGGAGTGTAGCGCGGGCTTTTTCAAAGTACTGACTTGTGTAAACAGGCCTTTAAGCCAGACTTATCGGCAAGGACATACTACACATATAGGGCAAGGAGATAAGGACGTGTGTAAGAGAAAGAGTTTTACCTTTTGAGGATGGCCGGGAAAATTTGCAGTGGTGTACAGCTATTTTCAGAGAAATTTGGGTGGCTCTGAAAAGAGCCTTTGGGGTTTTGTTGCCTTTTTAAGGCAAACTTCCTACTTCTTTTTCGGAGCCGCTTTCTTCGCCTTGGCAGCCTTAGGTTTCGCTGCCTTGGGTTTCGCGGCTTTGGGCTTGGCCGCCTTCGGCTTCACCGCCTTGGGCTTGGCGGGGCTCTTAGCCGCCTTCTTGGGCTTAGCAGCGGCTTTGGCTTTCTTGGGGCTCTTGGACACCTTTTTGACACCAGCGGCGGCAGGCTTCTTGGCTTTTTTGGGCGTCTTCTTCACCGCCTTTTTCGCTCCCGCGGCCTTCTTGGGCTTCTTAGGGGTGGCCCCGGAGGGCTTCTTGGCTTTTGCTGCGCCCGCCTTCTTGGCTTTGGGCTTGGCTTCCCCGGAGGCCGCCTTCTTGTTGAGCTTGAAGGAGCCCGAGGCGCCGGTGCCCTTGGTCTGCACCAGGGTGCCCTTGCTCACCAGGCTCTTGAGGCCCAGCTTGATGCGGCTGTTGTTCTTCTCCACGTCGTAGCCGGCGGCCGCGAGCGCCTTCTTGAGCGCGGCCAGGGACACGCCGCTGCGCTCCTTGGAGGCGGCGACGGCCTTGGTGATGAGCTCGGACACCGGGGGCCCGGACGCCTTGCGCTTCGCAGCGCCACCGCCCGCCGCCTTCTTGGTTGCCTTCTTTTTGGCAGGCGACTTCTCCACCGGCGCCGGGGCAGCCGTGTCAGCGGGAGCGGTTTCCGACATGGCCAAGAGCAGAAACTGCTACGAGAAGAGAGGTTGCAAATCTAAAGCGCAAGTCTTGCAATGCAGCCTGACTCCGGCCAGCGGCTTATATAAGCCGGTGCTGCTCTGTGATTGGTGGAGCGTCCAATCCACTGCCCTCAGGCAGCCGCCCTTCCCGGTTGGACTCCCTAATTGTGTTTGTTAGCTCCCAAAACCTGATTAAATGCTGAACATAATTATACAGAATTTGACGCTTTGAAACTCTCAAGGAAGACAGCAGGCTCCACGTTCACACACGGGTTTGTGTTTTCATGAATCGTGCGCAACAGATGAAAGATACTTTTAAAAATCTTTTCAGCTTGTCCTAAGAATCCACTGGGTTTAGGGCATCCTGCTAGTTAGTTGAAAATTGCAGTAACTTCCTACTAAGTATCAAGTGGACGTTTTTAAACATGCTTTGTCCCTAGGTTCTGCCTTTGGTTTTTGCAAGAGGAAAGACACGGTTTCCTGGGTTTGGGCATAAACGTTGCTTCTAACTGTAGCAAGTAACACAGGCAGGGCAATAGATTGCCTAGTGCCCCAAATTAACCACATAGATCTTACTTTAAAAACCAGTTCTGCCTCCTAGGAGTTTGCACGTGCCAATGTCTTTAGAGAGTGTCTTTTCAGCTTGGAAAAGTTCAGTAGCCAGAGTGACGTCTACCTGCAGCAGGAGGAAGAGGAATGGCTTTGGCTTGAGGATCCAATGACCTGGATTCAAATTCAAACTTAAATTTGATGTTTTTGATTGAGATGCTATCTGCCTTTAGTATTAGGCAGATCCATTATAATAAATCGGAAAGATGCTTAGTGTGCTCTAGGAAAATCTCAAACCTGCTGAAAGTATTCAAGGATTTCCAGTAGTCCTCAAAAACACACTGTTTAGATAACATGGGACTTTGTCAGGTTTCAAGGTGCTCTTCACAATGCTCCCAATTCAAACTCCTTATCTCCACCAACATTTAATAAAGTGCACTGTCATAAACACTCTCTTCTGTAATGTGGGCATTATTGTGTGTTTGAGGGAGGAGAGACCTGTACTTAGACCTGTACCTCAGAGAAATAGTTGGCTACTGACTCATGAGAAAAGTAGATTGGGGATTCAGGGACTGCAAGTTATAGAGGGTCAGAATTCAGAAATATATTAGCATCCAAGAGAACTGAGGCAATAATGAGGGTGGTTAAGTTTGCTGTTTATCTGGGGAGAAGGTGGAGTGGGGAATGGATGGGATTTTATGACTGGCCTGGATGGTAAGGGAGGTCTAATGATTAGAATCTCTACTGCAGTCAACACTCACTATGTTATTCCCTGGGAAAAACGGTAGGGAAGTTTAAAGGCACCAACGTGTTTCTCTCCAAAGAGCTCCTGAGGTTTAAACTGTAGCCATCTAAGGCCAAATCTGGACAGTTTCCTGTTTTGTATGGCTCTCAAGCTAAGAGTGGTTTTTATATTTTATTAATTGTGCTACAAAAAATAAAAGACTATATTTGGCCTGCAAAGCCTCACATATTTGCTATTTGGCCATTTTGCTATGCTTTGGACTCCTCCACATAGACAGAGTATGGTGTATTGCTACAAGCCTGCCTCTTTCAGAACAATGCAAATCAAGAAAATAACAAGAAAAATGTTTTAATCAAGCATTTCCCACTATTTCAACTATAAAACTTTCAGAAGATCAGGGCGGAGGGGACCGCCATGCTTAAGGAGCAGGAGAGAGGTATAATCAAGGGCTAACGTTCATTGAGCATTCGCTAAGTGCCAAGAACTAAGAATGCTCTACAGTTTTAATTCATTCGCCACATTTTACAGCTATACAGGCTGAGACCCAGAGAAAGGATGAGTAACTTGGCAAGCGGTTATATGGCTAGTAATTGGCAGCTCTGAGTTTGAAGCTAGACCACCTGGCCTCAGCTCTATTATGATGGGAAAATCATTCAAGGCGTGGGGAGAAAACAATCTCTGAAGCTCGTAAGAGGCAACATCAAGTAGTCCCTACAGAGCCACTAAGGATCTCTAAATAATCTATAGGAAGAGGTTCTTTCTGGTCCCTTGGGTCTGAACTCTTTGCCCTCAATCCCCAGGCATTCCAAAAAGCTTTAGGAGCCAGTAGATTGGATATGAACCTCTCTGAAAGGATATATCCAAAAATAGGGGAAAGAATGTAAGGTCCAGATGGCTGAAGTCTCCAGAGAAAAATTGCTAACTCCTGGAGGATCTGAAGTCAAAAGAAGTAAAATGGGTCAATGATATACGTGAAATGCATGAAGAGACTTCAAAATCTTAAAATAACTGGACAAAATATACAGCCAAGGTCGGTTAGGAAACCCAGAATTCTAAATGTGGAAACCTGTTAACAGCTTTAAAAATATGATTTAATTCCCATTATGATTTGGAAAAAAAAAATCATGAGAATCCAATTTCAGACTGAGGAGCACATTTTTAAAACAGGTGGACAAATTTTTAGAGCTACTGGGAGCTCATTGTACAGACAGCCTGCAGGTCGGTGTCCAGGTCATTGTTGGCCCATTTTCCGCCATAATCACATACACAAAGCCCAAGAGCATACTCTTCTCAATCACATTGAAACAGTGGAAAAGAGAACACCACTTCTTGGCAATCCCGGTTGTTCCTTCACAGGAAAGCAAATAAAAGGCACGTTTCTGAAGTAAAAGCATTGGGGATCATTTGGCAAAGATAAAACTGTACTTGCCATTTACACAATAATCCACAGGAACCTGAGCTCAACTTTCCTAAAACTTGGGCGTCCTTTTTTTGTCACTTCTTGTAGTCTAGAAGGTTTAATTTGTAAAATGGTTGGATCATTTTAAAAATGCTTATCCAGGAACAGCTCCTTCCTGCGCGCAGTTTTCAGCAGGGTCTGCCTGTGGAAAAAAGCTTTACTGAACATAGCCTCCTTCTCCAGTCCTCAATCACTATTGAGCACACAAGACCTTCCTCGAAACATCCCCGAGTTCTTTCTCATACTCGAAGGTTAACAGCTCTCTTTGAGGACAATGGAGGGGCTCTGAAAAGAGCCTTTGGGGGTAGCGTACACGGAGTAACGCTAGGAAGCTTACGCCCTCTCCCCGCGGATGCGGCGCGCCAGCTGGATGTCCTTGGGCATGATGGTGACGCGCTTGGCGTGGATGGCGCACAGGTTGGTGTCCTCGAAGAGCCCCACCAGGTAGGCCTCGCACGCCTCCTGCAGGGCCATGACGGCCGAGCTCTGGAAGCGCAGGTCGGTCTTGAAGTCCTGCGCGATCTCGCGCACCAGCCGCTGGAACGGCAGCTTGCGGATCAGCAGCTCGGTGGACTTCTGGTAGCGCCGGATCTCGCGCAGGGCCACCGTGCCGGGCCGGTAGCGGTGCGGCTTCTTGACGCCGCCGGTGGCCGGCGCGCTCTTGCGGGCCGCCTTGGTGGCCAGCTGCTTGCGCGGGGCCTTGCCGCCGGTCGACTTGCGGGCCGTCTGCTTCGTGCGAGCCATTGCCAAGCAGAGGTAACAACTTAAAGCTGCAAAAAAAAGGAAGCAGTCGTCCCAGTATTTATAGCGAGCCCGGGGTCCGGATTGGACAGGAGCCTCCCGCCCCACCCCGCGCACAGATTGGTTCTCGCTTCAGTCCTCTAAGGACAGGAAGCATTTTCCCGCCTCCCGCTTAGGTCTCTAGGATAAAGGACAAAGAAAATGTCTTTTTTTTTTTTTAAAGCCTCTAAGATGCATCAAAACTCTTTAAACTATTGTTTTGAGAATCCGAAACTGCCTTCCTTCCACTATTTTAAATAAAACCCAGTTATGACTGGATTCTTGATATATTGCTTACTGAAAATTAAAGAGGACGGAGTAAAATGGAGGCATTAGCATCATTTTAAATTCTAGCCGTGTTCTCTGCAAGGACTTTCAAAAGAGCTTAATCACTCAGCTTTTCATAACAAGGGTTGGCCAGGTTTACGCTAGAGAACACATGGTAAATTAGCTCGGCTTTGAGCACAACGGTCTAACAGTGTACTCAAGGGGGTGGGGCCTAAGGGTCGACTGCGGTTACCGCAAGTTTTGGCACTTCCGGGACAATCTTAGGCACATTGTACTTGCATATGTGAAATAAATTCTTGTGTACCCCAAGCTCATCTGATCATGGTCAGGTGCTCTGGGAAGCGGATTGGGAAGAGGTTTACAGGCCTTTAGAAGATTTCGTGGGTGGCCCTTAGAAGGGCCTTTTGTGTGAACGGCATTGCAACTTATATCGATTTTAGCCCCCGAAGCCATAGAGGGTGCGGCCCTGGCGCTTGAGCGCGTAGACCACGTCCATGGCCGTGACCGTCTTGCGCTTGGCGTGCTCCGTGTAGGTGACGGCGTCCCGGATCACGTTCTCCAGGAACACCTTGAGCACCCCGCGGGTCTCCTCGTAGATGAGGCCGGAGATGCGCTTGACGCCGCCGCGCCGGGCCAGCCGCCGGATGGCGGGCTTGGTGATGCCCTGGATGTTGTCGCGCAGCACCTTGCGGTGGCGCTTGGCGCCGCCCTTGCCCAGGCCCTTCCCGCCTTTGCCGCGACCAGACATGCCTGCAAAACAAACACAACTTTGTGCTTCCGAGGTAGCAACTTATATAGTAGTTTGTCGGACCTGTTTGGGAACACCGCAGGCCCGCTGTATCCGCTCAGGGAGGTCCCGAGCCAGAGCCCGGCCCACGTTTTAGGGACCAATGCGAAGGGCGGTGCTTAAACTCTGTTAAACTGGCCGCCTCTTGGAAAGTTCGTGCCGCGCTTTGCCTGCCCCCTGCCGCGGGGTGTGGTGCTTCTGGGCCCAGCCTGCTGGCTCTCCGTCGCTGAGCTTTGCTGCAGTCGTGACTTGTAGCTGCCGGCATCGAGTGGCCCCCCTCCGGAGTCAGCTTCGCAGACCCCTGGGCATTTGTGCAGCCGCGTCGCGCGCAGCGACCTCCGTCAGGTCGGTGACCGCTGCGGTCAACGCCGCCCGGTCACAGCGTCGAGGTGCGGTTAACCTCACCTTTCTTCAGTTTGCTTCTCTATCCTTTACATTCACTCGCTCTGTCTTTCCCTTTTTTCCATCCCTGCCACGTATCTCTCTAGGTTTCTAAAGTCGAGGAGGAAGGTCCTTGGAGAGCCGAGGAGCGGGCGACCACGCCTTTCAGAGCTCCCTCCTCTGCGCGCCCCCCAATCCTTTGTTGAACTGGGAAATCCACTGCACCCAGAAACCCTCTGCCTTTAATTTACAAATAAGATGCAGAATGAAGAGACTAGGAACGACTTTATTCCAGGAAAAAACAACAACTTGGAAAGACGAGTTCCTTGGTTGGTTTCCATGACTGGGGCTGTTTGGAATGACCTCCCTCTGGCCTGGCTTGTTTTCCAGATACTGTTAGGTTTACACTTTCTATTTCAAAGGTGTGTGATTATTTACTCCTTGAACGAATGCCTAATTTTATTCTAGGAATCAGCAACCAAGTGTATTATAGACTCCGTAATTACTCTAAGTTGAAAACATTACATGCCCACGGTCTTTGAGTTAATCCATTTCTTACTGGGCTTCTAGCGCCTCTTCTATCCCTGTTTAAAAATGGAATCTGAGTGCTTAATCTGGAAGATGTCAAACCTGTATCTGCTGGTGGAATAATTGCAATTTACCTTGCAGCTATAGAAAACCCGGCAGCGTTCTGCTTCCTCATACAGCTGCTGCTCTTGAAAGTGTTATTTTAAGACCAACCTTTCCAAGACCAAGTCTTGAAACACAGAAAAGTTATGAATGCTCCTTTATCTGTTGAAGGTAACATACTCTGGAAGATCTGTACTTTCATTTCATTTCATTTGCATGTGCTCTGCCCTGAAAATATTTACACTCACATCCATGTTTCCCAAAGGTGTAATGCTGTGTTAAATTAGATGCTTTCTTCATTCTCTTCTACTTTCATGCAGGGAACAAATAGACTGCCTGCAGATTTTTTAAGCTTAAAAAGAGTTTAGGCTTCTCATTTCATTTAAATTAAATTAATTTAAAAATCATTTAAAAATGTTTGGTCTTTTTCAGCATATGATAATGCTGATTGACATGAACTGTCCAATAATTTCTTGAATAATTGGGATAAATACAGAGAATTTTTTTCTCCTCTCACATTATGAAGAGATATTTTCCAAGAAAAATGTTTGACTGTTTTAAATTCCATGAAATTCCCTTCCCCCTTAGTCATATGAATAAATGAGGTGTAATTGCCTTTCCAATGTTCTGAAAATTGTGTACTGATCCACACTTATGTAGTTGACAATTTTTTAATGTTCTTAGTTCTAAATGTTGGGATCAATTCTTTCCAATATTATATTTTCAATTTAATTTGCCACATATTCATTTCCTTGACACCTGATTTTTTTTGTTTGTTTTGGTTAAGGCTTTGGAATTGACTGGTAGGTTTACATATCTTTTACTTTTTTACTTTTTGTTCTTCATTCAAAATTAATTTACCTACTCGTGATTAGTCCCTTTCCTGATTCTCATTTCTCCTGTCCCCCAAATGCATACACATTTACATATAAACATGCACATCTATACACTAATCCAAAACACCACTAGCTTTTTGGAGTTTTTTCCCACTCCATGAACTTAAACTCTCAAATCTTTTCTTCCATTTTGTAGTGTCCTACCCTTCCACATATATTTAGCCTTTTACCAGCTCATAATCTTAAATATGAGACTGGGAAGCATGGGGTTTCCTTTCCTCCTTGCCCCAGCCTATAAGCAATCATCATCCCTGCTCTCACGCATAAAGCTCCCTTCAGCTTTTCATGCCTCCGTGTGCTATTTTTTTTTAAAGATTTTATTTATTTATTTGAGAGAGAGAGAGAGAGTGCGCACATGAGAGGGGGGAGGGTCAGAGGGAGAAGCAGACTCCCCACGGAGCAGGGAGCCAGATTGCGGACTCGATCCCAGGACTCCAGGATCATGACCTGAGCTGAAAGCAGTCGCTGAACCGACTGAGCCACCCAGGCGCCCCTCTGTGTGCTGAAGACTGAGGGTGTGCCCCTGCCCTCCCTGGCCCTTTGCCTTCCCCCACCCTCTTTCCTGGGGTCACTAAGCCATAGTCTTGTCTGCTCATGGCTTGAAAAGTGATTTGCAAAAGTCTTTTATCAGAGAAAACCCTTGCTTTCTTCTGAAACTCTCAACTGAGATGTACTCTCCAGTACACAAGGCGTTTCATGCCTGGCAGTCATTCCTTGTTTTATCTCATACCCTACCTTGTTTCTGCAATTTCTTACTCTCATGTAATCTGTGATGATCTTTATTTTGTTTTCTAAACTTGCCTTAACTTAGCAAGTTTCCATGCCTCTTAATGTATCAAACAATTTTGCCAGAAACTTTCATTCATCTCACCTTAATAATATCTCCAGGGTTGGTTACTGAGAACACAAGAATCAAGGTGAAGGTGAGGGCCCCTTGTGTAGGGGTACCCGAGCCCTCCTGGCTGCAAAACAAGGGGTAGAGGCTAAGAACGCAGTTGCTAAGCTTCTACTCTTTGACAGTGAACAGGCCGCCATAGACTGAATGTTTGTGTCCATTCAAAACTCGTATATGTAAACCTAACCCCTAATGTCATGGTAGTTGGAGGAGGGCATATTGAGAGGTGCTTAGGTCGTAAGTGTGGAGCCCTCCTGAACGGTGTGAGTGCCTCTATGAGACCCCAGTGATCCCTCATGTGAGGACACCGTAAGACGACCGTCTGTGAACCAGGACGTGAGTTCTCACTAGACACTGAATTTGACAAAGACTTGATCTTCGGCTTCCAGCCTCCGCAACTATGGGAAATAAATTTATGTTGTTTATAAGCCACCCCGCCTGTGGTATTTTGTTCTTAGCAGCCCACACAGAAACGACACTGGTGTTCTGTAAATCATGTTTATTAAGTACTCAGATTTGGTGTCTTTGGTTTTGGTGGTTATTCCGAGTTAGTTGTAAGTACAGCTAGAAAATTCTGTTGGAGATCCTGGCACAAGTGTCCAAGTATGAACTGAATGATAGCAGCTAGGTTGAGCCTTTGGTTCAGCTCTTGTTTTTGCCATTTACTTGTTTCTTGATCCTAGAAGAAAGAGCATTCCTTAGAATGCATCCACTATATTTTACTTACTCAGGCCCTTAATTTATCTCTACCTTTTTGCTTTCACAAATAGCATTTTGATGAATATTCTCGATATGTCCTCTTATAGGTCTGTAGGAGAATTTCCTTGGGGCACAGACCTGGGCACACCCAATTTTACTAAGTAATTTAAACAGTTCTTCAAAATGTCTTGTGTAAAACCACCACATGAAAATAAGTTTCTCCACCTCCTGTGCAACACGTGATTGCATCTAGCTTTCTGATTTTACCATTTTGATGGGTGTTACCCTGTCATTATTTTAATTTGCACTTATCTGATTACCAAGTGAAGATTAAAAATTCTTCATATAATTGTCAGCCATTCGACTGTCTCCATTTATTTATTTACTT